GACATTGTCAATGGTGTCACTGGCCTCGACGTCGAGGGTGATGGTCTTGCCCGTCAGGGTCTTCACGAAGATCTGCATGCCACCTCGCAAGCGCAGCACCAAGTGGAGGGTGGACTCCTTCTGGATGTTGTAATCCGAAAGGGTGCGGCCATCCTCCAGCTGCTTGCCTGCAAAGATCAGGCGCTGCTGGTCAGGTGGGATCCCCTCCTTGTCTTGGATCTTGGCCTTGACATTGTCAATGGTGTCACTGGCCTCGACGTCGAGGGTGATGGTCTTGCCCGTCAGGGTCTTCACGAAGATCTGCATGCCACCTCGCAAGCGCAGCACCAAGTGGAGGGTGGACTCCTTCTGGATGTTGTAATCCGAAAGGGTGCGGCCATCCTCCAACTGCTTGCCAGCAAAGATCAGGCGCTGCTGATCAGGTGGGATCCCCTCCTTGTCTTGGATCTTGGCCTTGACATTGTCAATGGTGTCACTGGCCTCGACGTCGAGGGTGATGGTCTTGCCCGTCAGGGTCTTCACGAAGATCTGCATGCCACCTCGCAAGCGCAGCACCAAGTGGAGGGTGGACTCCTTCTGGATGTTGTAGTCCGAAAGGGTGCGGCCATCCTCCAGCTGCTTGCCAGCAAAGATCAGGCGCTGCTGATCAGGTGGGATCCCCTCCTTGTCTTGGATCTTGGCCTTGACATTGTCAATGGTATCACTGGCCTCGACGTCGAGGGTGATGGTCTTGCCCGTCAGGGTCTTCACGAAGATCTGCATGCCACCTCGCAAGCACAGCACCAAGTGGAGGGTGGACTCCTTCTGGATGTTGTAATCCGAAAGGGTGCGGCCATCCTCCAACTGCTTGCCTGCAAAGATCAGGCGCTGCTGGTCAGGTGGGATCCCCCTCCTTATCTTGGATCTTGGCCTTGACATTGTCAATGGTGTCACTGGCCTCGACTTCGAGGGTGATGGTCTTGCCCGTCAGGGTCTTCACGAAGATCTGCATGCCACCTCGCAAGCGCAGCACCAAGTGGAGGGTGGACTCCTTCTGGATGTTGTAATCCGAAAGGGTGCGGCCATCCTCCAGCTGCTTGCCAGCAAAAATCAAACGCTGCTGGTCAGGTGGGATCCCCTCCTTGTCTTGGATCTTGGCCTTGACATTGTCAATGGTGTCACTGGCCTCGACGTCGAGGGTGATGGTCTTGCCCGTCAGGGTCTTCACGAAGATCTGCATGGCTTTGCTATCTGCGAATTTCGGTCAAGTTACCTCGTACCAGGGCTATGTGAATTTCTAGTTGATTGGAGCCAGACGATGTATTCATGTCAAATATCATCAAAGCATGTCAAGCGATTTGTTTTGTCATGTTTTGTCTGAAATGAGAGAGTTCAATACATGGATTCGCTCAAAAGCGCTCCAAATGCTCCAAAAGACTGAGAGATTCCGTGAAATCCTGTGAAGATGCAGCCACGCACCAAAAAAGGTGCTCATCAAATCTTTCCAGGCCTTATTGCCCTCTCCGTTGCGTTCCAGGCATCTAAGATCCTGCCATCACGGTTCGGGGTCAGCGAATGATGAGCCACACCTGGGACCTGGCATATCCACGCGCTAGGTTTTGTCAGGATCATCTCGTATATCTTGATCATTCTTGGTCTATCTTCATCGCTATCCACTGAATTTTGGGAGTTACCTTGCCGGCTCGGACGGAATTCGCCATACAGTAACTGTTTCGTCTTTTCCTTGTTTAGCATGTTTTTTGGGCAGTACATAACAAGTGGACACAAGTTGAAGGAAGTAAACCGTACGTGTAGAACTCACAGAAATCAGCTGTACCGGATCACCTGCAGGAGATGCTAGTGGAGACAAACGAAGGGGTCAAAACACACAGCTCTCATAGACTTGTTCCAGGAAAAAAAAACTCTTCTTATCTATTCGTGTTCAATGTACCAGGCTCCTCCAGAGCTCTTTGATTGGCCATCAGAAATCGGCTTGAGCACAAGACTTCCGTGGTTTTTGACGGTGTTATCATTGTACGTCTCATGTTGTCTGCAATCCACACCTTGATCCACAGAGATCCCTTGAAGTGCATCCTTTAGCTGTGACAGGCAAACTCTTTCTCCGCCTTTGTTGTGGGTTGCGGCTCCCCAATTGGTGAAGGATCACATGCCCACCCATTCCTGTGAAGTCACTTTTTGGCGGTCCATTCCAAATGCATCCCTTGCTTCGCAAGGGGATTGCAGATTTTACCGCAATATACCACAATACAAGACCTCCAAATCAGCTTCGAAGTCGTGCAAAGAAACCGTGGCAGCAATCTATCTCAGCAGCAACAACCACAAGAGCAACCTGGCGCTGGGACTCATTGTGTGATACCAATCTGATGGCTGATTGTAAGAACAGCTTGGTGAAATACTATCCATCTGAAACGTTTGTTTCAATGATCTTTAAAAACAAATGTATCAAATGTATCCCAGCTAAAGTCAAAAGACCCCAGCATTGGACAAACAAACACCTCATCAACCAGCAGGATCTCGACGCTGCCCAGGATGCCTTGGTCCATGGATTTGTAGTTCGTTAGGCATTGGAACAACAAAAGTGTCCACTGCTCCTGCAACAGAAAATCAGAACTGTAACTGGAAGGAGGAGCAAATCATTCCAAATCATTCCAATAAAAAGAAAACAATCACAGAAAACACGTAAACCGTAAACACATTGTCCTTGAGTCAACAAAGGGCAAAAACCATGGCCACTGCACCACCTTCCTTGAACCGAGGCACCACTTTGCCGTGGCTGCCCTGGTCGACCAGCAAGCTGGACGCAACCTGCCGAGAGAAGCAGCGCCAGGCGAAAGTGCGTTTTGAACCATGCAATATAGAAATGTCAATTGAGGATATAGTTAAGGCATCGAACTATCGCTAATTCAAGGGGTCATGGTGCGAGAGTCGCTAATTCAAGGGGTCATGATGCGAGAGTCTAGTTGTTCCAGAAGGATTCTTCACGATAAATTAGCATACGCCTCATTGTCTTTGTCCAGCACGGGGGGGAATTTACGTAAACAAAACTATCTGCAAGAGCTGCAAATGCTGCAAATGCTGCAAGTAAAAGAGTAATAAAACGCCCTGAAAAATCTAGCTATTTCAGACCAATCAACCACAAAGCTTCTCATACTATTTATGACCGAATACGCAATAAACGACTATAGACTATAGGATACAATGTCAATCTACCATAACCATTCATCAGTAGAAAAACATAAATAATCGATAGTGTCCCCTTGATGCATGTCGTTTCGGGGGATGACAATTTCCTGATGATTCAACATGTTTCAAGATGCTTCAATCCATGGTGGAAATATGTGAGCCGTTGTCAAAACTCATTGTCTTCGCTAAGTTCCCGAAAAACGGGTATCGCTTTTGGGGACGGGGCCGGGGCCCTTTCGCTATCCATGGTTTTGTAAAAGAGAGGAAAGGAAGAGGCACGGAAAGCAAAAGAAAAGGAAATGAAGAGGAAAGGATAACGAACGAAAAAGGAAAAGAAAAAGAAAGGAAGAGGAAATGGAACGGAAGAGGAAAGGAAGAGGAAAGGAGAAGGAAAGAGGAGGAAAGACAAGGAGGAAAGGCAAAGGAAAGGAAAAGGAGGACAGGGTCCGTTTGTGGTCTGGGGCTACTTACTTTTTGAACAAATGGGTATCGCTAAGGTATCGCTAGGGGTATCGCTAATTTCGTCTCTTGCATGTAGGCAACTTTGTGCAAACAAACGTCAGGTGTGGACAGTATGCACAATTATAGGTATCGCTTTTGGGGGGCCTATCGCTACACGGTGTTTGGCGCACTTTCCGGACACATAAGTAGTATACCAGAGTGTTGACCGTATGTCAATCGTGTTCACAATCCCAAATCCATATCTGTCGATTCATCAAAAAAATATCAAACAAAGAACACAAAACTATCTATATAATATAATATATATATATAGCATCTGGTAAGTTAACATAGATGTGGTTTCAATCCATGGGTTTCAATACGAACATGTCCTACTCTTCCATAACTTTGTTCATTTACTGATGTTTAAACGCGGTTTTTCCCTCGAATCAGCCATCTTCCAACCCGCAGCACCTCCGAGCTCAGCCATGCGCTAGGAACAGGCGGAATGCCTTCCTCCAGGAGATAAGGATGACAACTGCTGGTGTAAAGAAATAGTAAATAGGCTTAACAATTGCAATAGTTGATATCGTATATTACTACAGTATACTACAGTGATTACTAGTTCTCCATTGTATTCAATTGACAACTGGAGTCCGCGTTTGACATGATCCATGGTGGACTTCACCAACCAGGATGGAAATTGTGGCGATGTAAGCTCAGAACTGATGGCAGATTGCACCAGGGCCTCTCACACCTTGGGCAGGTGGAGTATTTCAGGATATTTCAGGCAAAGATACAGAAAACTGATCAGATGGGTTATTTTCTTGTTCCACCTTACACGCAAGAGCCAATACAAAATGAGGCCACTGATTGGAATTGATTTTTTTTCTGATAAACGGTTGTAGATACTACAGTATACTGAGTCATCATGGCCACATTTTGACTTTGATTCGTGGCTCAAACAAAAGCTCTGTGGAGGATCTTGAAAGAACACCATGGAACACCAAGCACATGGCGAGACCGTCTGAGCACAAAGCGTCACTGTGCAAGTCCAGCCCGCTTTGGGGTAACCGCGGGAGTCCTGGGTGTAGCACTGAGTGAAATAACGTGAAATAACTATTCCGTCTACATCAGTTTGCTTCAGCCTATTGGATCCTATTGGATCTATTGGCAACCCTCCTCTGACTCCATCAATCTCTATCCAGAGGCAGTTCTAAGTGTTCTCACAGTTCGCAACACTGGGCAGGATGCATCTGGCAGGTAGCTGCTCAAGGTGGAGACTCATGTGCAAGACAACTTTCTTCGTACCAGTAAAAACATGTTACGCACAGGATTCTGCCACTCAGCCCAAGATTCGCTGAAGTTGCATGCCCTTTTTAGCTCAACCCAAGCATTCCGAAATCAGAATCGTTAACAAGTAGTAGAAAGGGCTCTCTGTACAAGCACTTGAAACTCTGACATGCAATGCCATGCACACTTTCATGCGATGTAGGCAGATATCCAAGACATCGCAGCTGCAGAAGTCCGAACTGGTAGCGAGCCAACTGGATTCAAGATCATCTTCCATGGATTCCACTGAGATTCCTCAAAGACTCCGGTGGTGGTGCTTGATGGTGTGCCTTCACGGACGACTCCCCTTCGAAGAGACCAGTGAGTGGTGCCGGTGGCCCACTCGCAGTTGCATCTCTGTCTAGCCGCTCACGCTGCCAAAATCCATGCGACTGGTCGAGGAAGCTTCAAACTTGACTGAAGACCTATCTGCATGTGCTGAACTGCTTCTTCGCCCTTGGTACGGACTTCGACTTGTTTCTTTTAGTGCATCTGCTGATGGAGCACGGTAGTGAGCTCTCATAGACGACTCTCCTTCAAAAGTTGTTTGTGGAAGCTTCCTTTCACGACTCCCAGAACTTGTGCCTGAAATCAATTGCCGCAAGTCCTCCAATGGTGGCACTCCGTAGTCATGATGTGCTGTTGACCCTCCTTCAAAACGAGCAAGCGCCAGTGCAGGTGGTGATCGACTGTTGTTGGAAATCCGGGTGCATTGGACTGACCCTCAAAGCGAGCTGCCTGCTGGCTTGCAGGCTGTAAGTCTGCATGTCTCAGACTTGCGTTGCTTGCAGCTAGCACTGCCTCCGTTGAAGGAGCCGCATAGTGAGCCTTCATGGATGATTTTCCCTCAAAAGGAATTGGCGGAACCATGTCATCACAAGTTGGTCGCCCTAGGAAGTGAAGCAGCTTCTCCAAAGGGGTGCTTGGTAATATGGCGCGTCGTGGACTGTCCCTCCAAAGCCACTTTTGTTTCCTCAACTTTGATGTCTGGTTGCTGTTGCCTTATGCCACCTGTCGCTGCTATCAACGCTTCCTCAGATGGTGCTTGATAGTGAGCCTTCATGGATGACTCACCTTCAAACCGGATTGGACTCACTTCTGTTGTTGCTGCAGCTGGCTGGGCCTGGTTCAAGGCCACTGGTGGTGGTGTTTGGAAATCATGGTGCATAGTGGACTGACCCTCAAAGCGAGCTGTCTGTTGGATTGTTGCTTTGGTTCCCTGGTCTTGTTCGGAGTGCGCGGCCGTCCTTAGCTTGTCAGTTTGCAGCACACGAACACCAAATTCCATTCAGGCTGGCCCTTCAAAGTAATTTCAAAGTCGACAAGAAAGGACCACGTTGATGATATATATATATATATATAATTATATATATATACCGATTGAAATTTGAAATAAATATTGGAAAGAAAAGTTATGAAGAGTCGAAATTCAAAATTAAAATGAACTTCAGAGTTCTTCAAAGGTTGAATGACCACAGCCCGCCCCCCCCCAAAAAAAAAACATTATCCCAATTATCCCGACAAGAGACCCCAAACAGCGTGGGGGGAGTAAAAGGATAATGAATTATAATGTTGATGATGCTGTTAGTGTTGATGACAATGTTGATCGGGATGGTGATGTTGATGATGATGGTGATGATGATGGTGATGATGATGATGATGAGGAGGAGGAGGATGACCATGACCATGACCATGATCATGATCATGATGATGATGATGATGAGGAGGAGGAGGAGGAAAATGATGATGTGGATGTTGAGGAGGAGGAGGAGGAAGAGCAGGAGGAGGAGGAGGAGGGAGGAAGATGCTGATGTTGAGGAGGATGACGTTGAGGAGGAAGACCGATCCCAAGACCGGGAAGCACACTTGGCGCGAGCCTGCGCAATCGAAATCCACATGGACATTGCACAACAGCCATTTTGTCTGGAAATTTACAAGAAAATGCCGGACGCGCCTCCCGCGGCCCGTTTTGTGCGAGCCTGCGCAGTCGAAATGTGCATGGACATGTCAGAAGAAGCATTTTGTGCGGAAATTTACAAAGAAAATGCCGGACGCTTCTCCCATGGCCAGCGTTTTGTGCGAGCCTGCGCAGTCGAAATGCACATGGACATGTTGCATTTTGTGCGGAAATTTACAGGGAAAATGCCGGACGCCTTTCCCGCGGCCAGCGTTTTGTGCGAGCCTGCGCAGTCGAAATGCACATGGACATGTCAAAAGAGCCATTTGGCATTTTGTGCGGAAATTTACAAGGAAAATGCCGGACGCTTATCTCGCGGCCAGCGTTTTGTGCGAGCCTGCGCAATCGACATGCACATGGCCCATGTCAGAAGAGCCATTTTGTCTGGAAATTTCAAGAAAATGCCGGACGCGCCTCCCGCGGCCAGCGTTTTGTGCGAGCCTGCGCAATCGAAATGCACATGGACAATGTCAGAAGAGGGATTTTGTGCGGAAATTTACAAGGAAAATGCCGGACGCTTCTCCCGCGGCCAGCGTTTTGTGCGAGCCTGCGCAGTCGAAATGCACATCGACATGTCAGAAGAGGCATTTTGTGCGGAAATTTACAAGAAAATGCCGGACGCTTCTCCCGCGGCCAGCGTTTTGTGCGAGCCTGCGCAGTCGAAATGCGCATGGACATGTCAGAAGAGGCATTTTGTGCGGAAATTTACAAGGAAAATGCTGGACGCCCCGGATACCACCTCAATTGAATTGAACACCGGGCCTTAACACCTAATTACCGTAAGAACCCCTCAGTGTGGCCACACTGTTTGGGGAAAAACACAAAAGTTGTATGGTTTTGCCAATATAGGAATCTCTTCCGGTCTCAATCCACAACCTTGCAGCCATCTTTGTAAGCCTTCCAGTGGGGGAGCTTGGTAGTCAGCATGCATGCTGGACTGACCATCAAATCGCGTTGGTGGTTGCGCAGCTTCTGGCTGGACATCACGGCTTTGCAACATCTGGCGTAACGCTTCCAAAGGTGGTGCTTGGTAATCTCGCTGTGCACTGGACTCTTCAAATCTGCTTCCTCCCAGAATTGCGTTTGGAAAACCAGGAGCTTGGCTGGGATGAGCATGGTTTGCATAGGCAGCGCATCTTGTGGGGGTGCTGGATAATCTGCATGAGTGGTGGATTGGCCTTCGAAGCAAACTTGCTCATATGATTGCCGGGTTTGCTGAAAGTCAATCTTTCAGATGCCACCTGTTCAACGCGTGGAAAGCGGTGATTCCATTGACGGTGTCGCCGGCTTCGCCACGCTGCTTCAATGAGCCCTCTCAGATTACATCCAGGAGGTCACTCACAGAAATCGTCAAAGCCAATTGCAGGGACAGCCCCTACATGCCCCTACCATAAATAGCAGCATGAAAAAAGCCTCCGAGTAGGCCAACCTTCAAACATTTCAAACACCGACACACCACAGGTGTGCACAAGCACCTGACTCAGCAAAGCTTGCCTGTGGAGTGAAGGCTTTGCAGCAAAGCTATCACTCCACAGGCAAGAGCGGAAGAGGAGCCATTCCCAGGAATTGCAGAAGCAGTCATCAAAGTCCGTCTCAAAGGGTTCATAGCCACGCAGAGCTATGCATCATCACCTCTCGACGCCAAGCCGAGTGAAACTGTCACTGGCCTTCCTATCCCAGCATTGCTTTTCTACAGTTCAAGTTGTTTCAAAAGCTTGGACATGTGCGTAGTTTGCTTGCAAGCCAAAGAGTGCAAATGTATGCAAATGTTTTCAGACCCATTCGGGATTTTTGTGGCACTAGCGCGAATTGTTGAATCAAGGGATCAATCATTGAATCGTGGAGCAATTTGCAAGAAACATGACAAACATCAAACATCTAACAAAATGCAACAAGATGCAACAAGAGAGTCTCCCAAACTAATGCAAAGGGATTCAAATGTCACCCATGGCAGTCATAGCTCACGCCGCTCTGAGTTTCAGTCCAGGCAGGCACAGCCAGTCCATCCACGCGCAGCTGATGTCACCTAGTTCTCGGATTTTGAGCCACATGAGGCCATAAAATAACCAACAGTTCCTCCCCCAAATGCTGCAGTATCTGGGACGTCGAAACGAAGCTTTCCAGGGAACCCCTTGCCCTTGGGCCCTTGGGACTCTGGCGATACAGTCGAAGCTGCTGTTTGAAGAATTGGAGATGTTGCTGTTGCTGGATTCATTGCCCTGGCGTGACAACCCACGAAAGTAGTATAGCAGTGTAGTTCATGTGTAATCTCAATGAATTTGTGTTACCACCCGGTAATCTAACATAGCAAGGGAAAATCATCGTGTTTAATAAGTGAATCATCTACAAAGGGCCCATGTTCAAATCGACCAATCTTTCTGCACGCAGTTTGTTACTCAAATCCTTCTCATCCAGCATTAGAAAATCATCCCCAACGTGACAAAGTCAGGAGTTTGCCACCTTGAGAAGTGGATGCTGTGGGCACTTCTCTCACTCAATGGTTCCACCCAGTTCAAGTCCCACTTGCCTCCAATCCATGGACCATGGGGCAAAACCCTGGTGCAGTCAGATTCGTCTCCTTCGATGGGAAGATTGGCAAGGTGAAGACATACAAATCCCCTGATGTCCGTGTCTCAAAAGCATTGTCACTTTGAAGGGATCACCATGATGCGATGCTTTGGCCATAGCGAGCTGCACAACAAGAGTAAGAGCCACTGTCTACAAACCAAAAACAGCATGCAGTGGCTATGTACTGAAGTTGATTTAAGTCATCGTGTGCATAACTTCAGCTATACATATATGTGTATATATATATACTTGTATATATAATGATAATGTAATGTGTTTTATATCACTTATGTAATTGAAGCGATTGAAGCCTGGTGCTAGCCATGAACCAAGAACGGGCAATATGTCACACATATGATGACCACAGCTGAACATGCTGAGTCTTCGTGAGGCCATTCTAGTCCGCAGTCCTCTCCCTGAGCATTCAGCTGAAGGGACCTCAAACCACAACCGTTAGCATCACAGGGGTAGCATCGGTAGCAACACATCTGAATCAGTTCCGGGCCAATGAGTGCCGAAGCAGCAGGATTGTGCCGGCCTGACTTGACGACATGGGACGGCCTTGAAGTCTTGGATCCATTTTGAAACCTTCCCATTTCCAGTCAATTTCCAGTAGACAAATAATCGTCCAAAAGCTTCTGATCACAATTTCGGGGGTCTTGTATCCAGCACGTTCAATTCACGAGCACAACACGCCAGAACACTTCCGGTTAAACCACTGGGAGTGCCTTGTTGTATCCAACACGCTCTCAGGACAGCTCGGCGAAAGCTCACAGTCCACCGGAGTATCACCTGCGGTGATCACCACTGATCCCTGACTCATACCTCTTTGTGTTTCATGGACGAAAAGGGCAAGTGAATTCACTTGAAACATTGCTCCAGGGAAAAAAATACCAAAAAAAATAAACATTATATGACAAAATCACAGACCTGTACCATGTTTCTTTCCGCTTAGAATGTCCAAACATGTCCAAAAGTAAACCCTATGCGTCAGGGGACTCCTTTTGTAAGCTCTCGACCTTGTTTGAAACGAAAGGCCTAAAATCGGGTCCTTTAGAACGCCCAACCAAAATGCTTGCCTCCAGTGGCCATGATGGCCCAAAAGTTTCATCAAGAGATGTTCTTAGGCGTTTCTGGATTTCAATGTGATACTATAGACATCTATAGACTAGAAAACCATGATTTATCAATGGACAAAATTGCAAAGTCAGAAATGATGTGGTTATTTCATGATTTTCGAAAAAAATGTATATGGTATATGTGGTATATGTTCAGGAAAAAAAAAAGAAAACGTGAGCCGTGGAATGGCCGTGGAAAAACCGTGGAAAGGCCTTCAAATGCGGTGGAAATGCCTAAAAAAACATGGAAAGGCCTAAATAAGGCGTGGAAAGGGTTCCCCAACAAAAATGACATTTTTTTGGTTGTGCTGGATATGGGATCACGGAACAAAACAACATGATTCAGATCTGCAATTTTCTTATTCATGATCGACAGTGCTCAAGACCCAGTTTAGTGAAAGTATTGATTGATCATTACCAACGGAGTTTTTTTGTGGCGTCTTATTGGAACTTATTGAAACAATCATTAAGGGTTGATCTGATAGGTATGAGACCTTTTGGGGCTCTATATATGTATACTGTATATATAGATATATATTATAAGATTATATAAGATGATTTAAGGCCTTTGTACCCCATTAAGGCCATCGTCCAGAGTCCTTTTGTAAAGGCTTCCAACATCTTCCAAGACCCGCCCGAGTCCCGAGCGGCGCCTAGGGCGGTCCAAATGGTACTGGTTGCAACGAAGCCCACGTGGCCACAGAGCGCCGATGGAGACAGCTGGTCTGGTCAGGGGCTACTGGGTCCAAAGGGGATTTTGAAATCCAGGGCCATCCAGGGCCGTCCATTACCAAACAATGAAATTATATATGATTGTTTAATAATTAATATAATATAAATATAAATATATAATAATATATATATATATGATAAAAGATATAGATATGAATGTATAGTTGCTATACATAACTTATATATTATATTATATTATATTATATTATGAATTATGATTGATCAAAATGATAGGATTTGTTGACGGGTGACATTGCATGACACTGCTGTGATTATTTCTCCTTATTCCAGGTGGCAGTCCACAAGGAATCCCTTCCTGCAACGCGTGTCCAACTGTCCAGTCGTTCCAGGCTGCACCACTCCTGTGATCAGGTCGCAATTGTCCACAAGCTCGATCGCATCGCTGCCTCCTGTCTTTGGTTCATTTTGGTTTTGACACCGTTCATTCTTAAAAGGACCCCGGACCAAGTTCTTTCCCGCAACAAGTTGGAACGATTTAGGAATTTAGGATCATTCACGATTTTTCAAGGTTCGGGACACATCTCTCTATCCGATCCCTTGAGAGCACTAAGTGCAGCTGTTGTGACCACTGGCACCAGCACCCAGATTTTCTTCTAGCCGTCTGCAAATCGTCAATGGGTTCAGTTCAGGAACCGTTGAGGTTGAAATGGGTAGTGGTCAACAGCCTGTTGCCCCGGTGAACATCAGTAAGTGTAGCCGCTGAATTGATATTGATTCCCAGTTCAAACAGTCCTATTGATACTGCCTATACCTATCACCATTTTGTATCCTACTTTTTGATACTTTTTGAGCGTATCCTGAAAGTCCTAAAAGTTACCAGTGGCCATAGAACCCGCCAAACTGGTATATACTGCAATGTTTCCTTGGATCTGTCAAGCTAGGTCCTAAGTAGACCTGCTGATCTTGTATGGATGAAAAATGCACATGATAAGTTGTTGGTCACTGGCTTCTCTAGTGAAAACTCAATGAACAGTGGCACTGGGAACTATATCTTCAGCTGAGCTAGACTAAATGCATTCAAAGTACTGTGTTCTAACAAGAAACCATGTCTGCCATATCGAATGTTCCTTTTTTTTCGCTATTATAAATTATAAACCAAACCCAGGTTGCTGAGCAGGTGTCCTTCCGTGACGCATCGGAAGGACACATTCTCCGTGGTCTGCGAGATGTTGGGCATCCAAGAAGCCATTGTGGTGCAAGTGGCCTCCAGGCGTCCCCTTCAATATCTTCGATTTCAAGGGGAGGATCTACGTTTTGACACAAATGTACACTGCAAGCTATGTGACATAATGTTATGTGTGGTTTACATTTACATGTACATGTAAAATAATCATCATCATCTTCTTCTTCTTCATCATAATCATCATCATCATCAACATCATCATCATCATCATCATCATCATCATCAAACCGCAAATGTTTCTTCTCACATCGACATTTTATGAGACACGAGTCACAGTGTGGAAGATGCTGTCATTCTGCACATCTGAGCTGTCCCAGCCTGGTCACAGGTCCGCGAAGTGCATTGCTGCACTTCATAGATACCTATCCCATCAGGGAATTTGATGTAGACCTGTGCACACCTCAACCGCAACGAACGGCGAGGTCAGTGGCCACCTTCAACTTTTTGGCTGGTTGTGTCAAGCCCAGCTGGAAAAGAATGCGAGCTGAAATGTCTACTGGTTGGTTCACGGGGATCCTGAGCCGTAGTCTGTAGGTCATAAATCAGCATAAATCAATGGATTGGTTTAAGGGAAAATTTACAGGAAAACCCTATATTTAATGGGAAAATCTATGGTTTCCTCTAAATTTTCCCTTAAACCAATCCATTGAATAAATCATCGTAAGATCCATCGTAAATCCATATCAATCCCATGGGAGTGCCTCCAAAGAAACAAGCTCTGGGAGCCCCTACAGTCCGGGTGCTGACGGCCACATTGCGCCAGTGCCGTCATCGCACACGCATCTGACGTTCAAGTTGATGCACCCAACAATATGATCACCAGACTCTCACAGGAAAAGGTGGAAAGTTGCGGCTTTTTGAGTCTCATGCCTGCCCAAAGGCAGCAGGAAGGGAACACCAGCAATACTGCAAGTCTCCTCCCAGTGATATGAAAATCTGCCCGACACAGATGGCGTCAGGTTTGTGTGCTCAACCCATCACAGAACTACAAACCACATATGGACCTCAGAAATTCAGGGGCTTGACAACCAGCCATGAATATGAGGATGACTCAACTACAGCAATCGCTACAGGGAAGTCATTAGCTCTGACGGGCTGACAAGTGTGGAGGTTGTTCATTGGCAGGTCTCTTTGCAGGATCCAAGTTTGCCTCTCTGCAAGAAGAAAATGTGCAAAGTGTTGAACTTTCAGCATAGATCATTGCACCTGCAAACTTGGGTTTGAAGTTTGTGAATTGTATTGATCTACTCTGACACAGTCCTATCACAACACAAGTGCTCCTCTCCAGGATAGATTACTCCACAAGCCGTCTGAGACAAACAGACTGGCGCCGCGAGCATGCAGCTTCGCACAGACTGAAAAATCACGTTGGTCAGAAGCTTGACTGAAGTTGCCATGCTGTGACATGGTTGCTCCGACACCATACCACCATACCATGCCACCAGTATTTCCGCCAGCTTCCAGTGCCTGTGTTCATTGGCCCGCGACCTGCACCATGACAGACTCAAAAGATGCCAATTCAATATTTTCCATGACGCCCGCGACGGTTTAATGAGGAAAAAAAGTACGGGAGATCATTTTGGATGATTTGGGATTACATTGAAATCATTGAAATCATTGAAATCACAGTATTCACATTGCACCATTTTAATGCTATTGTACACCAGGGTCTCCACAAGCCCTCTGATGCACCGCCTCCCCAGGTGCCGGGCAAGCAAGCTCCACCTTGGATTCCAGGTTCAACTAGTTCGAAGATGTTCCAAAGCAATCCAAAGGAATGTCATGGAATGTCCAAACTTGTCGAGTCGAAGAGGGATTGCTGGAACTTGTTGCAGAAGAATGCAGAAGATATGGATGATCTGATCCCAAGCATATCTACCAACTTGCCACCAACTGTATCTTGCTAGTTCATTGTTGATCCGTGTGCCGCAAGCACTTCCCGAGTGCTCGGCAGGTATTTGAGATATCTCCACGAATGGAACATGGCCTCAGCCATGAACACACCCGCCGTTTTTGACGTCCAAGTTCCAATATTCTTCATTGGTCCCGCGGTCCCGCAGGATTAGTGAGTCAGTCATAGCTCCCTCAACAGCTTCTCCATTTCCATTGAGACCAGCACTGCCGCCGAAGCGCTGAGCAGTCCGGGCTCCTGCAACGGAATCCAAGGTCCAAAAAGATCCCAGAGAGGATTGGAACATCCAGGGATACCCTCTGGTAATTTAACATAGCTATTGAAAATGGCCATTTATAGTGGATTTTCCCATTAAAAATTGTGATTTTCCATAGCTACCGTATGTTAAATTACCAGAGGGTATATCCAGGGTGACCCTTCACAACATCCCAATGGTTCCCCATCCCGTCCCGGAACAATCCACCAATGCATCAGCTCGGCCACATCTGGCTGCGACACACGCAGCAACCAGCGCTCTGGCTGGAATCGAGCCAAACCTCAGGCGAGTGACGAATCTCTGGTTGGTGAATGGGAATTGTCATGGATTATGATCATCCCGGAACATCTGGGTTCCATTTTGCCTGGGATTGGGTAGTATATATAATTATAATCATCAACCAGATTGCGATTATAATTGACAAAAGAAAATTGATCATTATTAACCCAATATTGATTATTAGTACATTCATTATAAAATCCCAATAATAATGATATCCCATGTAAATTAGTATTATATTACATTGTAAAATCCCAATCATACTATTTTATTACATTCATTGTAAAAACCCAATAATATTATTTTATTACATTCATTGTAAAAACCCAATAATGCTATATTTTATTACATTCATTGTAAAAACCCAATAATACTATATTTTATTACATTCATTGTAAAAACCCAATAATACTATTTTATTACATTCATTGTAAAAACCCAATAATACTATTATATTACATTCATTGTAAAAACCCAATAATACTATTTTATTACATTCATTGTAAAAACCCAATAATACTATTATATTACATTCATTGTAAAAACCCAATAATACTATATTTTATTACATTCATTGTAAAAACCCAATAATACTATTTTATTACATTCATTGTAAAAACCCAATAATACTATATTTTATTACATTCATTGTAAAAACCCAATAATACTATTTTATTACATTCATTGTAAAAACCCAATAATACTATATTTTATTACATTCATTGTAAAAACCCAATAATACTATATTTTATTACATTCATTGTAAAAACCCAATAATACTATTATATTACATTCATTGTAAAAACCCAATAATACTATATTTTATTACATTCATTGTAAAAACCCAATAATACTATATTTTATTACATTCATTGTAAAAACCCAATAATACTATTATATTACATTCATTGTAAAAACCCAATAATACTATTTTATTACATTCATTGTAAAAACCCAATAATACTATTATATTATTACATTCATTGTAAAAACCCAATAATACCATTTTATAATACATTTATTGTAAAAACCCAATAATACTATTATATTACATTGTAAAAACCCAATAATACATTGATATCATTTATATAATTATATTACATTCATTGTAAAAACCCAATAATACTATATTTTATTACATTCATTGTAAAAACCCAATAATACTATTTTATTACATCATTGTATAATACTATATTACATTCATTGTAAAAACCCAATATTATACCCAATAATACTATATTTTATTACATTCATTGTAAAAACCCAATAATACTATATTTTATTACATTCATTGTAAAAACCCAATAATACTATATTTTATTACATTCATTGTAAAAACCCAATAATACTATATTTTATTACATTCATTGTAAAAACCCAATAATACTATTATATTACATTCATTGTAAAAACCCAATAATACTATATTTTATACATTCATTGTAAAAACCCAATAATACTATATTTTATTACATTCATTGTAAAAACCCAATAATACTATATTTTATTACATTCATTGTAAAAACCCAATAATACTATATTTTATTACATTCATTGTAAAAACCCAATAATACTATATTTTTTATAAATTCATTGTAAAAACCCAATAATACTATATTTTATTACATTCATTGTAAAAACCCAATAATACTATATATTACATTCATTGTAAAAACCCAATAATACTATATTTTATTACATTCATTGACATAAACCTATTGTAAAAACTATATTTATTACATTCATTGTAAGACCCAATAATACTATTTTATTACATCCTTGTAATCAACCCAATAATTACGATCTTTTTTACATCATTGTAAAAACAAATAATATGTCTTTTATTATGCCTTCATTGTACCACCCAAATAATACTATATTTTATTACATTCATTGTAAAAACCCAATAATACTATTTTATTACATTCATTGTAAAAACCCAATAATACTATTTTATTACATTCATTGTAAAAACCCAATAATACTATTTTTTATTACATTCATTGTAAAAACCCAATAATACTATTTTATTACATTCATTGTAAAAACCCAATAATACTATATTTTATTGCATTCATTGTAAAAACCCAATAATACTATATTTTATTACATTCATTGTAAAAACCCAATAATACTATATTTTATTACATTCATTGTAAAAACCAAATAATACTATATTTTATTACATTCATTGTAAAAACCCAATAATACTATTTTATTACATTCATTGTAAAAACCCAATAATATATTATAATCCCCTCTAGTCATCAACCAACAGGGCTTTTAAACACTGCTCAGGTACATCAGGCCTGCAAGGCGCGTAACATCTGCGCTGCACAGCGTGCCGTTCGTTCCATCTGCTCATGGCATCATTGCGATACTGTCCGAAATGGAAATGGTAGGAAACTGGACCCTAGGGTCTCTTAACTAAAAGCTTACAACGCTTTCCTGTTTTTTGGGGGGGTGAAGAAACATGATGATATGCATATGTATATATATATACATATATACATATATATACATATTTATTCATATATCTGTGTGTGTTCAAATGTCATGTCTTCTCTCTGAGGTTGCAAGTGCCGTGTCAGATCTGTCAGGATTTGGAGACATGACGCCATGAGGCCACCACTTTGGAGCCACGGCTACAGAAGACAACCTGGTTTGTTGGCAAGGCACCTGCCCAAGGATCAACATGCACCACAACAAGATCCAGATGATCCAGCAGAAGGAAGGGAAAATCATACAATTTTGCCATATGGATTCATATTTCATGTGATTTCATCAATAGTTCAAAGATGTTCAAAGGAGAGGAACATCAACATCACATCTGTGTGGTTTACCAATAGATCCCGGTAGTTTATAGCTATACAGATCTTTGCAGTACATCATTGTCATGTTATCTTTCGCAGGACATCACCAGCCCCCTTGCACCGGTCTTTGTCAGGGGGTGCCACTGGTATCCACTGGTACCATTAACCGTCAGGCCATGGAGCAACCAGTACACGACTGAATTGTGTGGCTCTCAGAGGCTGCTTCAGATGTTGGGGTTTAGCCTCAGAGCAGTTGCCCCGAGTAAAATGCACTGTTGACAAATGCTTTCCGATAGCCAGAAGAGGAACGGGCACGAAACATGCTGCTTGAAGTCAATGAAGTTTGAGTTGACTTGGCCCGTAAAAATAAAGATATTAATGGTTCTGCTGACAGTGCAGCAGGGAAAGCACGCAGATTGAGTTTCATCAGCTCTTCAACATCCCCTCTACATCATTTTAGATCATTCTACATCATTTAAAAAAAAATGACATGTTCTAATCACGTTAAAATCATCAAATGACTTTGGTTACTCATGTGCTATCATCTGCAGTCAAAACATCTCTCGGGATGGTCACTCCAGCTGGGATGCAGTACAGGTCAAGACTTCATTGTGTCGATCGTGTTTCTTGCAACTTTATATACACAGCAACTACAGTAAATATCTATACTGTACACAGAATGATATCAGAATTAGATTGATAAGCACACAGTTCCCCATGCAACCCAAAAAATGAGATGGTATGAAATAGTTAGGTACACAAAGAGACCAATTTGGTGGGTTTAAAGTTTAAAATCCACCTCAGTTTTGACGCATACCCATCTTGAGACAAGACCCCGTCTTTGTATAGTGCTGGGTATGTTCCCCCGACAAATGGGGATTTGATCAGGAAACCAAAGCATACAAAATTCAACATGATTAAACTCCCTCATTGATTAGATTTAAATAGATTTGATTTAACATATTCAACATGATTTATCAAACTGGGGGGTCAGTTTGGGAAGTAAATGGAAGTAATATGAGTTCCACTGATCCCCTCATGAATGGTGATCCACTCGACCCCTGAGTTCCTTGCTCCGATTCCTGTCGCGCATGGATCTTCCGCCCCTCCGGGGGCACAGCCTCAGTGACAGGGTGGTGGTGTCTGCGGATTGCGAGTTGGGATGTAGGATCTTGCTACAACAAATGGTGATAAATGGTGATACCTGGTGTTAAATGGTGATAAATGGTGAGAATTCTACTACCTATTACATGTTATCTTATGTTATCTTCATCTTCTGTTGCCAATAAAACAATAAAAACATCATCTTCTGGTAGATGTAGTTTCATGACTCGATTGCAAGATGTTGATGAGTTACATCCCATTATAATTCATTATCATTATAATATATATATATATATATATTAAATATAGGTATCATTAAATTCCAAATGATCAGCTGGTGGCGTTCTTCTTGGCTCCTCACGCGTCCAGTGACTTTGAAGTCTTGAACCCACCGGGACCTGCCGTGCCGAATGGTCATGTTGGGGTCATCCAAGGATCTGATTTGGGACCTTTGGGAATATTGGGGTTGGATGGTTGGACCATCCCAAATCAGGTTGGCCCCGGACTGGATCAACTGGACAAACTGGGCCCCAGGGCAGTCTGCTATGGCTCGCCCGCAGCCGATCCGCTTCCTGGTGAATCAAAACCAGGAAGGGCCCCTGGTGAACACCAAATGGATGTTCATCCCCAAAAATATATGTGTTAAGGGACATATAGGGACATACATCTGAACAAAATGGTGACCTGTTTCAGAAAGCGTCGCAACACCATGGTCTCTGAGTTTTTTGAGCTGGCTGTTCTCTCTATTGCAAACAAAAAAATGTTCAATTGTGCAATACGCCCAGCACTGACCCAGATCCGCACCTCTCCCTTCACGTTGGACTGCAGCATAGTCACTTCTTCCTGGGTTGACTGCCGAAACTTCTGCACGAAACTTCATACCGGAAAGTATCTTTGCCTTGCCGATATTTCACTGAGTCTGAGGCCATGTATCTGCCATCAATGTAGACAATCAGCTTGTGAAATTGCTTCTTGTACCTTGCCTGCCGTGCGTTGGTGGGTGCATCGGCGCTTTGTCATTGTCTTGAGAGGATTACAGAACAGAACCTGTCTATTCATGCGGGAAACCTCATCGTCCCCAAACCAGTTCTTTTTACCAAAATAACCACCAATCAAGTCAATTGGTTTAGTCTAACGGAAAAAAAAAACAGGAAACCATATTGATCATATTGTATATATTGTTGTTATTGTGGTTTCCTGTAGGTTTTCCTGTAGGTTTTCCCTTCCATTCTGGGGAAAATCTTGGTGTCTCGCTCCGCACCTGCAAATCCGCTCCCACCATGTCCAAGGTCCCATGGATCATGGCCACGCTTGCCGTGGAGGGCCTTGCGCCGCCGAGACGACTTGGAGCATCACCCAAGTAGCGCCATGGATGGCTCAGATTAACTGGATGATTGCTGGATTATATTGGATTATATGGATTACAGACTCAGATTAGTTGGACATGATATGGATTACAGACTCAGATTAGTTGGACTTTGGACATGTCTTTCTAAATGGGCGATATCTGGATCTGAGGCATCAGCGAATGGTTCAGTGCACGGGCCAACCAATTCCAGATCACGCCAAGATCTCCCTGCCACTGACCGATAGGGGGACTCCAAAAAAAGGCATTGCGTGAGAGTCGATATACCATGATAGACCCAAAACACTGCATACTTCAATCACTTCAATCCATCATAGAATCATAGTTGATGATACTTCTGTATGTTGTAGGTATTTGTAGGTCACGTTAGGTCCATATAAACCATGGATCCGCCCGATTCCGCCCGCAGATCCGCGGGGAAAAAAGACACCGCCTGTGTGGTGAAGATCACGTTCCACAGGCGCTGGTAGCTGACGAGACGGTCCACCATCTCGGTAAATCCCTCAGGGATCCAAACATCCAAGGGTTGGTGGTTCAAATATCTTCAAAATGACTCACCAATGGTATTATTCTTAACTACATTCAACTATACATTTGACTATACATAACTACTGTTAGTAAGAAAGCAATTTGGTTTTAGTAGTCTGAACATGTCTTTACTGACCGAAAATCCTGGCACTTCAATGAACTTCAATGCAATCCAAAATCACAAAACCTGCCGGAAAATGTCGTGAAAGTTCATCCACCACGGTGCCTCCTGAGGTCTCTTGCTTGCTGCCAGGTCGCGCTGACCCTGTGCCAAAACTGCGGACTGATGACTGTGTTTGGCCATGTTTGAGCCACGGTGGTGTGAACTATTGATGGATATTGACGGTAAATGAAGGACAAATATGTACAAGTTGTACCATTATCTGTACCATTAACATCCATCAACACTGGAACAGAACCGCCATAGCTGCCATAGCTCCCCATAGAGCATGTTCTCACGATGCCTGCGCTGAGAAGTCGGCACGTAGATGTGGACAGTTGCGGCCTGGAAGAAGCGAAATTTCTCTCCGTCCCAGGTCTTGACCCTTGGAGTGCTGAGCTCCAAACACATCAGGCCGATGAAAAGCTCCTGGAGGCATCAACTCTGAGCTGATCTGACCTTCTTGGCTAATGGGCTTATCAAGAATAATGGAACAGTACTAAGTCACATTACAAATTGTTGATGGGTGCATGTGAAATAATTCAACAATTACTAACAATATCTAACAATTAACTAGTTATGTGAGTTATGTGAAATTAATTCAATTAAAGAATACTTCAACGAATTCAACTGTGCTAAATCACAGATAAGCAGAGTTCAAAACCCTCTGTCATCCAAAGATCTCCTGCACGGCCGGAGACTTGTCGAAAATACGGCAACTGACCTCGGCAAAGGAATGAACTGTATGACATACAATGTATGAGCAACACAAATTTGACTTGAGAAAATTAGATCTGAGAAATTCCGAGAAGACTATTTTCCAATAATCTCTATTGTACATCTAATATAATCTAAAATGGATATAACCTGATGTCTTGGGATTCCAACCAGTTCCAACCACATCTTCTCCCCAAAAAAACACAAAAGAAACATCTTTCCCGCAGATTCTTCCCAAAAAAATCTGGGACATCCCCCAACCCCATCCCCCCATCCCGATCTCCCCATCCCAACCGATCCCCACCTCCGCAATGGACCAGGCCGCGCGCGGCTGCGAGCGGACGCTCACCTCGGCGTCATCCGCCAGGCGCGCGGCCATGGCGTGCGCCACGTAGATCTGGCGGATCTCGGGGTCCTGGAAGGATGTCGTGTTTGGGGTGAAAAACCCATAGGAAAACCCAAACTGTGATGTTTTCCTGATCAAAGTTGCCATAATATCAGGTGTATTCAGGTGTCATTTCATGGTATCTCAGTATCTCTCAGAAATTACCACTATATTAACAATACGTACTACTTGAAACCCCGAAAATCCCTGAAACATTGGGAAAATCATGGAACATGTCTATAGGGATCTCACACATCTCATTGTTGAGCATCATGTTCCGTTAAAATATGAAAAAGATTGAAAAAGAATTCAGGCATAGCATCCTCCTTTGTTGTGTAACCCAACATGGACGGATGATGGCCATGGATGGAACATCATGCATGAAACATGATTTACAGAAACTTGATGGACTGATGGCTTTTACAATGTGAGTACCAACATCGAACATTTGGGAAGGTCTGGATGGATGTCTGGGACAAACCGTATGTGACATGCGTGGTTCGGTTATGTTTGGTTATGTTTTGGTGAGCCCGAGCTCATGGTTTTTATGAGCTCTTGGAAGTCTAGAGGAAAACAATGTTGCGCAATCGGCCGTCCTGAGAGTGCTTGCTCAGTATACCGCACAAAGCAGATGTGCACTCCTCCGCAAGCAGCACTACGAAAGCACGGCAAAACTGGTGATGGCAGGGTCAAACCAGGGTCAAACCACTTCAAAATACTCAAACCTCGGACCTCAGCATGTTCCAAACCAAGAATAGCTACTGAAACCTGCGAACATTGCGGCTCCTGAATCCTGCTCCAGGTGGCGGAAATTTGTCCAAAGCGGGTGTTGATCAGCTTTTTCACCTACCGTCATGACCAGCAAGACTAGAACAAAATGTAGCAACGGCAACTCTTAGGGAATCTGACCTCTAAAAATGCGAACATGTAGTGAGTCTGCACTTCTCTTCTGCCGGCCTCCATCCTGAAGTCCTTGCTGCTTGCATCTTTCTTGAACTCGCTCAGTTCATTCTCAGCCTGTTAAGAAGGCTAAAGAAAGCTGAGTCTTTGCTGATCATGGTGCGAAACCAAAATTCTTAAATCATGTTAAAACATGTTAAACCAGCATGTTAGCAGCATGTTAAATCATACAAGGTCAACCCTTCATAAACCTTATTCATTGGGGTTACCACCAAATACTGACTGATAATTTGCTACTATATAAAATGGTAATTACACCTCCCCATTAAACAGCTGGTTTTCTCCGCTTTGTCGTCTTCCGCTCTGGATGTCTTTCGGCACCTTGGCTAGTTTGGCCATGGCGGCTGCAAAGCGGTCCTGTCACAACCAAGTCAGCAACTCTGCAGGTGATGTGACTCATGGTGATGTTTATCAATGTTCATCAGACATCTCCCTGAACTCTTTCGGCATTCATGATTAATCGCTCTGATACATTCAAATACTGGAATCCAAAATGCTTCCGCAGCTACAAAATCGCAGTGAGTCTTTCCAAGTGTTGGTGATCTTGGTGCCAAACCCAAACTGACACAACCTCTCCTGCGGATCCTGCGCTGCAGGCTGAGCTGCCTTGGCCTGAAGCCAGCACGAGTCCAAAAATTGGATGGCAACTTGGGTGCTCCCAGCTTGAAACCACTGAAAATACTCAAATAGCTGGAGCAATAGCTGGCAATGGTGTCATGTTTCTGTAACTTCTCAGCTGGAAAATACCCTGCTAACTCTCAGGCTTTCAGGCAGTTTCAGGCCACAAATCTGCGGGAAAAATAGCTGGTTGTTGGCTTCAGTTGGATTCAGTTGGATGTTCATCCACCGGATCTCATAGCTATCCGACGATCATTTCCAGAACGTCACCTTCGGCTGCGCCAAAGTTTCCGGAGCCATGGGCTCAGGCCTTTTTTGGGCATGGCAAAAGAATACTGGAGCACCTCATATGAAAAGAAAAAAAACACTACAGTATGTAACGATGATTAACAATGTATGATAATGAATTGATAATGTATGTATCTGTGTATCAACTGTATATCTCTTAAAATTTGCCTCTCTTGGGAGACGGATCGTCACCATTGGATCATCTTGGACTTGGAACAGCCCCAAACGATGCCTCTCCGCGCCCATGGGCTGCGTTTTCGCCGGCGGCGCTAGCGCTTTGGGTGGCGCGAGGGGCGGTGCAGCTGTGGGTGGTGGTGGCGCGGCTGGTGTCTTGGGCTGGAAGGAAGGCTGCCTGGAAACGAAGCCAGTGAGGCAATAAGAAACAATGGAGTAACCTTATATCACCAACAAGAACTGGGATAGATAAGGATAAATTGAGCATATTAATATACCGTATGCCCAAATATAGGCAACAAGAATTGAGGGATGAATCCAACAGTGATAACCATGATAACCATGGTGATACAATCACACCCCGCTGTGGCAAGTTATAATCTCCGCACGCCTTTGCAGGTTGACCTCTGCAGTGTCGGTCGCAGGAGTGCTCTTCTCTGACCTGCTAAGGTGGTTGTCTCTTAAGACGGAAACTAGTAGCAAAATCCCAGGGTGCATCCTGAATGCCAACATCCTCACGATTCATTTCCTGAGCCTGAGTCGCCGGATCATCATTTTCAGTCATCATTTGGATATCCATCCATCACTCATTGGATTGAAAAAAGGTAGAGAGCCTCTAATCATTTCCGGGTTTCAGGAAATGTTCAATATGTCCTGCATAATCCTGCTAATATATCATCATATACAGTATCTGCATATGTTCCGTCAAATTCCAGCACTCATCACCCATCCCGTCCCCAGTCATCCCGTACGTCGCGCTGAGCCGCTGAGCTCCCGACTCCTGCGACGTGGCTCTCGCTGCTGCTTCGGCAGCCGCAGCTTGTGTGGCCTGGTGCCATGGAAGAGCTGCAACCCGCCAGCTATGGGAATGTAGCCATGCAGCATCATGCACTTACATGGGACTATAACCATGGTATACCAAAAAGTGGCATTATAATGGAATACAATGGGTTATACTTATGTCAATACAAATAAATAGTGTATACAGTATATATATATATATGTATATATTAAATTATATGTATAATATGTATATACATGTATATATCATGAACTATCATGAACTTTGATGGAGAAGAATTGGAATACATATGGACACACGACACAATGATACACAGGGGTTCATACTGACAAATGATTGTTACAATTCATTATGGTTTGGTTCTATGTTCTTATGCTATGATAGTTCAAGTGGGGTGTGTATGTATAATATATGATAATGATTGATAATGAATTATATTGAATATATACATGGATTGTATGGATACTACCCTGCGACTAACTGGTTTGCACATCCTGGTACCCCATGGTACTGGGATGTACTGGGTGTTATCATGGATTATATGTCGAGTCTTATCCCAACGTACATATGGAGATATATGGAGATGCTGAAAGCGCGCCAGGCTGAAAGCACCTCCAGCTCTTTCATTTTTCTTAGAAATCTCTGCAGCTCGTCCTGAGAGGTGTGTTTTCGAAAGTTGAAAGCACAACTGAGCACACCAGGATCAATCCTCCGGAGCTGAAACCTCCAATCACAGAGAGAAATTCAACCAGATTCAACCATTATCTTTCAGGTCATTCCCCACATTTTCCTACCATCTACATCCAATACATCCATCTATCATCATCGATCACTGTCTCCTACCTAGCCGCTACATATGCACCCATCCCTCATTTATGCAGTCCTGGGCCTTCCGCTCTGTAGCCTTTTCTTTGGCAACTGCCTGCAATGACTCTGACAACGGACATTCAGTGGCAACTGCTGCAGTGAGGTCCCCAGCAGTCTCCACATTTCTCCAAATCCCTACAAAACAGCGGCCATCAGCCATCAGCCACCCGCAGATCGTCAGCAAATCATCAGTTTTCTCTCGGCATCGATCGCTTCACCGCTCACTGAGCACAAAGGGACCTGACACTTGGCACTTGGTACCTGAGGAGACTGTAGGAAGTGAGGACTTTAATTACCATGTAAAACATGTACTGTAAATATGTCGATGGGATTTTTTTTCGCCAAAGAAAATTGGGACTTCAATCAAGCTATATCAGGCTCATGTGTTCATAATCTGTTGGGCTGGGTTGTCCTTGTTGAGAACATGACTAGCTACACAGGCTGACAGGTCTCGCATCAAGGGTGCCAGTGTGTCACTTGGAACTTGGAACTCCCCAACAAAAACAAGCACCCTGCGCCCTGCCGTCGGGAACATGGCGGGCTGTGGGTGTCTATATCTGTATTTGCGATCTGGACTCCCTTGGACTCACTTGGATTCACTTGGATTCACTTGGAGTCTTTGGTTCTGCCGAATTTGTTGTTGTCAACTCGGTCCCATTGTTCCTTGGCCCGAGCAAACTCTCTCTTTGCTTGGCTCTGATCTCCGGGGTTCAGCAGGCCATTGGACTTCACATATGCGTTCACCGACGCAGTGACGCCAGCAGCGGCATGCCAGCCTGCGTGAATGCTGGAGCGAAACCAGCCATCTTGATGGAGCTTGCACTTGTCATCCAGCCAGTTGCTGAAGCCACGCATGCCCGAGGGATTGTAGGCCATGGCTCGGCGGCAAATGGATGCTGATGATGTTGATGGGACTTGAGACAAAAGGTGCTGCTAAATGGCATTTCATTGAGGATCAAAGAATTTGTGTAGCAATCTCTCATTGCGACATCCAGAAAGTTGATAAAGGCTTTTCAACAGACCTGTTGCCGGACATGTTTTGTCCATCAAAACGGGCCACCACTATCATCAGTCCAATCCCAAGCACACCAATGTTTTCTTCCGACCAAAAACCAAGGTAACAAGCTATATCAAGGCAGAACATATCGGGTTTTCCTAAATTATCTATATAAATTGTGGGACCGCAAAAAATATTCCAACCCATTGGTCCATTGGAAACCATGGGTTTCCCCATGGGTTTCCCCATGGGAGTTTCCCATGGGAAACGAATGGTCCCACCTTCTGAACAGCAGCTTCCTGCGCTTTGGACATCGCTGCCTGGGCCAGATTTGTCCCGAAATTTCAGTTGGGAAAAATATTAAGAACATATATATATATATAATTCAATATACTGTAATATATACAATACGATATAATATAATATAATAATATATGATATAATATGATATAATATGATATAATATAATATAATGTAATATCGTATAATATAATATAATATCGTATAATATAATATAATATAATATAATATCGTATAATATAATATAATATAATATCGTATAATATAATATAATATAATATCGTATAATATAATATTGTATAATATAATATAATACAATATCGTATAATATAATATAATATCGTATAATATAATATAATATTGTATAATATAATATAATATCGTATAATATAATATAATATCGTATAATATAATATAATATAATATCGTATAATATAATATAATATAATATAATACAATATCGTATAATATAATATAATATCGTATAATATAATATAATATAATATCGTATAATATAATATAATATAATATAATATAATATCGTATAATATAATATAATATCGTATAATATAATACAAGATAATATAATAATATAATATAATATCGTATAATATATTATAATATAATATAATATCGTATAATATAATAATTATAATATAATATAATATAATATAATATGATATCATATAATATGATGTCATATAATATGATATAATATAATAAAATATAATATAATATATACATCATAAACCATCACATACCATCACAAACCACTGAATGTTTCGAATACCCTCTTTTGGACAAACCCATATCTTCAATATGGCGATGTTTCATGAATAATTGTAGTTATTGACGTGAGAGGTGACATTTGGATCCATACCCACTTCGCAATTGCTTTTGAACACTCCGGTCCGAGCCTCATCGCCTTCGGAGCTTTGGTTCTGAGTCTCCTGGCGAATAATCTCTGGATGGTGCCAACCCCCAAGAAGACAACAACAAAACAATAACTTTGATCAACCAAAAAATAATGAATCTGCATGAATGCACCATAGGAATCATAGGAATATACCAGATGGCCAATTACCTTTTTGGAGGGAATATGACCTAAATGACCCATCTACGCGCACTTTCGAACAACCATAGAACTCTCAGACCGTAGACTTTTACTGTTTCCGCTTGTGCAAAGGATCATAGCAATAGTCAGCTGTACCAGCTGTATATCGGTACAATGGCACCATCTTCTGGTGCCGAAGGGTTTTGATCCAGCCACCAGTCGTCTCCAAATGACTTTGTCTGAAAATAAGGCATGCCCCCATCATCAACTTTCACTGTGAACATGGCAATTTGGGAGGTATCCCCATGTATCCCCATTTTCAGAGAAGCCCAAAATGGGAAAGGTCCATCGACCTGCCAAGCACCCATTGGGAAGCTGGGGTTCCCACTCTGCTTCTCATTGTCATGTCCTCTCTCAGGCCTAGGATCATCTGGGATCATCTAGGATCATCTGGGATGCCGCAAACATAGCAGTTTTGGCAACAACAATGGTGATTCATCAGATAGTATCAGATAGTATCTGGTTATTTAACATAGCCATGGAAAATCACCATTTTTAATAGGTAAACCATCTATAAATAAATGGGTCATTTTCCATGGCTATGTTAAATAACCAGATGGTAGTATCAAATATCTTCCAATTTTAGAGTACCCTTTTCAGACCAAAAAGAGCTGGGACTGGCACTGGCCAACTCGAAGTAGCTCCGGCTGCGTGGAGCCTGGCCCCCTCCAAAGTGACTATCATAGGTAAAGGAATGGAAAGCATTGTAAAGGTTGATAGGGGATGGCTGATATGGCTGATAGGGGCATTGGAAGATATATGTTCTTATCATTCGATTTCAAGGCTTGAAGGCCCCTCTTCCATACTGCACGCCGCATCCCGAGCCACTCGCTTAGTTGAGCCGAGTGCACCTGCTTACAGGTTTCTGATCGATGCTGTAGCCTTGTCGAGTTTTCCCAGACGGAGACGGAGGTGTGACTATGCCATGTCCCATGTCCGATGACTGATGGCTGGTAAAACATGGTAAAACATGTCCCCAAAGATCATCAGTCGTATCAAACATGGATCCATATGGATCCCCAAGTTTGATCAGTTCTTGTGAGGCATTGCAGGCCTTTGTGCCAGCCCCATAGGGTCCTCCACCTGGCGCGCACGCACTACCAAAGATTGCCCTGTGGGCACAAAGTTTGTATCTCTCTGTGTGTGTCTGTGATATGGAGAACATCAATATTGAAATAAGCATAATCAAAGAATATCAAATAATAAGGATTGCCAAACACAAGGAATAAACACGCCTAATTTCCGTTCTCTACCCCTTTCATGTGGAACCATGTGGAACCTATTTCACTTCTGCCAGTGCAAACCTCGAGTCTCAAGTCACCGAAAAGGTCCGCAGGAGCAGCAAAGGTCTGCCGTGGTTGCCTGACTCATGAGATACCCAGCAAAATCTGTTCATTGCCCAAATGAAGCCGTTGACCTACCAAACCAAAGCTTACCCTCCGGCAATGAAACATGCTAATGGAAAATCCCCCTTCTATAGATTCAGATGATTTTCCCATTCAGATCCATTCAGCTATAGGGGATTTGCCAGCTGGCTAGCCATGTTTGCTTCCCGAGGGGTAACCATAAATCATCCCAAAACCGCTGGGGTTATCTGGGGTTCTGATCCATGGTTTTGCAACTATCCAAACAGCTGAAAATACACTCCCAGCCTGGCTTTGACCACTGCAGCCTGCCGCTGGGTGCTACTCAAGACCACGAGGTGGTAGTTGGAAACCACTTCTCAAACCAACTCAAGACGCATAAATGTAGACAGGAAGTATATGGAGGCATGGCATACTCAAATGACAAGATATGACAAGGATACCAAGCCAAGTCCCCAGGAGGGTGCCAGCATGGGATCCATGGCCCCCTGGCCCCCTGGCCCCCTGGCCTGTTCAAAGTCAATGATGGCCTCATCACCCGAGTCCTGGACACTCAGTGAATGTTTGCTAGATTGCGGATATAGAATGATATAGACACCACCAGGAAGAACTCAGCCGCATTGCTGTCCTCATCTTCCCAATCCTGCAAAATGTCAACAGCAGAGTCCCCTGGCCCAATGGGTCCCCACAAACCGGTTTCCAAATCGAAAATGCCGAAGCCAGCCTCTGGCAGCGACAGCTGTAGGCCCTGTACTGAGACATGGTGAGACATGGTGAGACATGGTGAGGGTGCAACCTCCCTTGACATCATGTTGACTCATGTTTTTGGACATCCTAAAGGTCCTAAAGCATCTGCTGTTGACCAAGGTCCAGCCTGTGGCGCTGGTGCTTCAAAAGGCACCCTCTCAGGGGCTACGAAATACCTGACACCAAGGTACAAGTACCAAAGGTACCAGGACTCATCAGGATTGGGGGCTCAAAAATGGGGTCCCAATGGGTGTCAATGTTTCGACATGTTTTGACGTCTTGAATTATTTAACCGCAATATTGTACCATCCGTTTTTGGGATGGTACGAGTAATGTAGTTTTGCTCTGTACCATCTATACCCATGAATAGAACGCGGTGTTGAAACGGTCACCATGTCCCCCCAACCCACCACAAGCCTGAGCGAAGTCGTAGCATTTGGAGCCTTGGGTTTGTCTGAAAATGAAGTACCATGAAGTACCACCTTGCCTATATATGGATATGGAAATTGCAAGTCTGTTCTTATGGGGGAAAATCTGGGGAAATGATGATTAACTTATTATTAACCATCAAATTTGGGGGTATTCAGAGAAACCTGCTGAATGACCCAATGATTTATTTCATCTTGTTTGAAGCTCGATCTCTGAGGCAGTGCAGAGTTTCTATTGGGGATCGATTTCCTTGTACCCACACAAGTTTGACTGCATAAAATGTCATTGCTTCAGCAACATCACTGGAACTATCGGGCCACTAAATAAACTTAAGTCAAGTCAGATTCTCCATGGTCTGAGACATGGTGTGTTTTCCAGTATAAGGGGATGGGCATCCTCCCATTCATATGGGTTATGTCATAAAATGGCCACCAGCGCGGAATTTGCACCTGATCCCCCGATGGCTCCAGTTTCACTAGCTGTGCCACGTCGCAGCGAACCTGGCAGCCATGAGATACCAATACGCTTGACCCACCTTAACCCAACTCCAATCTGCGTGAACTTTGGACCAAATGTACTCTCAAAGATAAGATTGTGATAGACAATGGGACAAATTTGTGATGTGAACCTGCTTGCGACCCTCTATAACTATCTAGCTATCTATCATCTATCCATCGATCTATCTATCTGTCTATCTATCTATGCATAGCAGTTCACATTGAGTGATTGCAATAGTTCTGGATCCCAATAATTTGTAACATGATCCCCACCATTTTATGCTTCGCCAAAAAAGAGCAATTTAGCTGGTAATTACTTATGGAGATGTTCTTACCCCGCGTGTGGGTTGTCTGAACATGAGGTGGCCCATTCCATCCTATGCTTAGAGGATCATTTTCCCTGTGAAAATTGCCATAAATTGGGGCATCCCCCATCTTTCTCGGCAAATTGTTATGATTCCCGACTCAGAAATAACGTGAAATCAGTCTGAAATCAGAAAAGATATAATTGTGTTGGATCATTCTTCATTCTAACCATCATTCCTCCAACCTATGGCTTTGTCTGAAAATGTGGAACCCGGCCCGTTAAATACGCCTGAAATCCATGGTGTTTCTCATCATTTTTCACCAGTATTCCAACATATTCCAACTGAAACGGTCACGCCATGATCACCATGGGGCTGTACCCTGTCAAACAGACCCATGTTCCCAAGGTGTTCCCAAGGTGACCCATCCTCCACGGACAACTCTCCGCAGAAAGTCTCCAAAGGCAAACGGCGACGGTGCAACACGCCTGGTGGAGTCAGCCACCAAATCAGCAACAGTTTGATCTGGAAAGATTTGGACTGGAAAGTAAATGAAAGTAACAAGTTGATACAAGTTGTGCATGTGACAAAGCTCACAAGTATTCACAAGTTCTGGTTTCATGGATGTTGGATGATGTTGGTATTCAATGCCTTCCCCATGGGACACTAGTCACTAGCATCCCAAGGGGGTCCCCGGAGTTCCACCATGATCCCACCTGTGCACAGATCCGGCAAGCTCAGCACGGCTTTGCCGAGCGACTCGGACGTGCCGGCGTTGACGACCTGGTGGTGAGGAAATCCACCGTTGAATCCCAGGATGAAAGAAGGATCCATCATTATATTCCGCAAAGCACATTAAGACTTGAGAGGGGGAACACGAAAGGTAGGTAAGCAAGAAAGGAACCGAAGAAAAAATGAAGGGGAGAGGGGAGGGAAAAATACATAAAGTGGAGTCTGGTAAAAGCGACGCGGCCATTTTCTTTCCAAAAATATGAAGGGGAGTCTGCTAAAAGCGACTGAAAGGCTTCGGCGATGTGGTTGGGGTTGGTGGTGGTTGTGGTGTTGGTGGTGTTGGTGGTGCTGGTGGTGTTGGTGTTGTTGGTGGTGGTAGTGTTTCTGGTGTTGTTAGTGTTGTTAGTGTTGTTAGTGTTGTTGGTGTGGTTGGGTTTGTTGGTGGTGTTGGTGTTGTTGGTCGTGTTGTTGGTGTTGGTATTGTTCGTGTTCGTGTTGTTGTTGTTGTTGTTGCTGTTGTTGTTGCTGTTGTTGCTGTTGTTGTTGCTGTTGTTGCTGCTGCTGCTGTTGATGGTGTTGTTGCTGCTGCTGCTGTTGATGGTGTTGTTGTTGTGTGTTGTTGTGTGTTGTTGTGTGTTGTTGTGTGTTGTTGTGTGTTGTTGTGTGTTGTTGTGTGTTGTTGTGTGTTGTGGGGTGTTGTTGTGTGTTGTTGTGTGTTGTTGTGTGTTGTTGTGTGTTGTTGTGTGTTGTTGTGTGTTGTTGTGTGTTGTTGTGTTGTTGTGTGTTGTTGTGTGTTGTTGTGTGTTGTTGTGTGTTGTTGTGTGTTGTTGTGGTGTGTTGTGGTGTGTTGTTGTGTGTTGTTTGTGTGTTGTGTGTGTTGTGTGTGTTGTTGTTGTTGTGTGTGTTGTGTGTTGTTGTGTGTTGTGGTGTGTTGTGGTGTGTTGTGGTGTGTTGTTGTGTGTATTGTGGTGTGTTGTTGTGTGTTGTTGTGTGTTGTTGTGTGTGTTGTGGTGTGTTGTGGTGTGTTGTTGTGTGTTGTTTGTGTTGTTGTGTGTGTTGTTGTGTGTTGTTGTGTGTTGTTGTGTGTTGTTGTGTGTTGTTGTTGCGTTGTTGCGTTGTTGCGTTGTTGTGTGTTGCGTGTTGCGTGTGTTGTTGTGTGTTGTTGTGTGTTGTGGTGTGTTGTTGTGTGTTGTTGTGTGTGTGTGTTGTTGTGTGTGGTTGTGTGTGTGTTGTTGTGTGTTGTTGTGTGTTGTTGTGTGTGTTGTGTGTGTTGTGTGTGTGTGTGTTGTGTGTGTGTGTGTTGTGTGTTTTGTGTGTTGTGTGTTGTGCGTTGTGCGTTGTGCGTTGTGCGTTGTGCATTGTGCGTTGTGCGTTGTGCATTGTGCATTGTGCGTTGTGTGTTGGTGTTGGTGTTGGTGTTGTTGTTGTTGTTGTTGTTGTTGTTGTTGTTGTTGTTGTTGTTGTTGTTGTCGTCGTTGTTGTTGTTGTTGCTGTTGCTGTTGGTGTTGTTGTTGTTGGTGTTGGTGTTACCCCTGCAGCGTTTTTGCTCGGTTCCGTAGTGGCCGAAAATCGTCAAATCGGTGGTGTTTTCGCGTGTTTTTGCAACTCTCGGAGCAAAAAACACCGTAAATACCGATGTTTTTGGCGGGTCGGAAGCCCAAAACCACAGTATTTACGATGTTTTTTGCCTCTGGTAGTAAAAAGCACGGTATTTACAGTGTTTTTTGGCCAGCACCTAGCAAAAACACTGGTATTTACGGAGGTTTCACCATGTAGCAAAATGTGGTTTCTTGATCCGAAAAGAACAAAAATACTGTAAATTACAATGTTTTGAGTCTGCTCTTAGGGTGCGTGGGAGGTGTGGAGGGGGGGGGGTTACTAAAATGACTAGCAATCTCCTGAAGAATCAGGTAACGGGGCTGGCCGCCCTCCCCTTTACTTCGTAAAGTAAAACTCAAGGTAGCCCCTCTGGAGCTACCTTTCGTGATCTATTGAATCAATGGATGAGAAAAGATAGATTCAAAAACTCCCAGAATCTTCCCGGGGATTGGCTTCTTGCCTCCATCTCCAGCAGTTCGACGGTTGGATCCATGCCAAAGGTGAACTCGTTGTCCACCGTCCAGCGTGGATCGCTGTCGTTTGCGACGGCCCTTGGGGGATTTTGGATGATTTTGGGGTTCAACATGATTCAACCAACCCCCCTGGAGAGGTGACCCCCACCCAACCATAGAATTGACATAGATGGTTAATAGGCCCTTATTCTTGGGTACAGGTTGTAGGTCAGCTTTGCAAAGGATTGGTTGAATCCCTGATAATATTTAGAACATTTGAGGAAAAATTGATCATGAACATGTCGTCAACTGCTTGGAGCCCAGTGTGAGGCAAACGGGATTAATATGGAAAATTATGGTTTGGAATGTTGGACCGTGTCAGAGTTATTGCATGTTATTGCGCATTGTAACTGCAATGTTGCGTGTCAGAATTTGCGGTCTAACCCTTGTAGTTTATTTCTCTGTTTCAGGGGCCGCGTTTGATCTTCTGCAGCCAAATGACGACTACAATGCGGCACCAGCAGTCCGGCCAAACCCAGCGATCCCATTTTCAGCAAATTTTAAACATCGAAACATCAGCCGCCAGCACGCCATCTTAACGTGCGACTGCTCTCCAACTTGCTACATGGCTGGTGCCTGGCACCTGTAGGACATATTTTGATCCAAAGATCGATTGCAAATCGACAAACTTCCAACAACTTCTTCATGTTCTTCATCTTCTTCATCTTCCTAACTCAAGGCTCCATCTTGAAGCTGTGGTAGATCACCATCTTGCAGCTGAGGCATCCCCGAGTCCATCAGCATCTGTGGATGCATCCCCGGTGACGTGGAGCCGCGCGCAACGCGGCAGCGCAGTTCCTCCAGCTGCTGCGCCGCCAGGATTTCACACTGCCGCGCTGAGAGCCGAGCCACGGGGGCGCGGGAGGTCAAGATGCAAATCACCTGCGAATGGAGTCGGTTGGAGCCGGTTCCCTGGTACAAAAACGGTGGTGTTTTACAAAACTTGGGATGCGACCAACAAAAACGGGAAAATTTACAAAACCAGTTCTTTTACCAACAAAAATGCGAGGTTGATCCACTAAAATGGGGGACATGGGGGTTGCTATATAAATGAAAGGGATGGGAAATGATCAAGGAGTCGAGAAGAAAGATGTCCAGCTCATTTCATCTGTGCTGCCTAGGCTTCAATGAATATATCCACGCACCAAAGACCATCAAAATCACCATCCTCAACTAAATTAAGATACACATTGAGATTTTCAGAATACAACAAAAAACTAGATCAATATATAGATATAGGATATTATAGGATGTTATAGGATCATATTATATCATATTAGACTTGGGACCCCCCATGGCTTTTCCCATGGCTTTCCCATGGCTTTCCTATGGCCTTCCACAGGATTTCGCTCACTTCGCGGGACCGGCGATGGGCACCTCCCCGAGGGGGTTCCAGAAGAACCTGCAGCCGTGGGAAAAAAAAAACAAACATGTATCATACAGTACATATATATATATAGATAGATATATATGGGGTCATTTTTGGTCATTGATATATGGGATATGATGGGATATGATGGGATATGATGGGATACTCACAAAATTTTTGTATTTCGATATCTTTGGAATCTTAAAAAAATATCTGGGACATTACGGGCATGGGATACTCACTAAACAAGTAACACTCCACAGGTTTTGGTCTTGGAGATGTTGATAAATTGGGGGATATTGGGCAACAATATGAAATTTCGATGTGCAATAAATGTAATAATGATAAACATCCAGTGGTTGGTGGTGATTGGGATGGAAAGACAACTTTAACCATCAATCCGTTCGCAATTTTTTGGTAAAATCAATTGCATTTTTTAAGTCGGTGCAAGATGTTTTAGGCCACAAACATCCATAAACTATGATATTTATTGATATTTGAGATTCTAATTATATAAGTCAAGTATGTCCACGTAAGGGTTAAAAGGTTCCCTGTGACTTTGGGGGGGACCGGGGAGGGGTGGTGGTGACCTCGCCCCCTCAAAGCCGCAGGGACAGAAATGGACAAACTATCCTGGGTTTTCTGTGACCATGGTGCGTCACGCTAGCCTTGTGGCTGACGACTTGACGTCGACACTCTGCCGGATCTTCGCTGTGATATGGCAGGTCACCAAAGCACATGGCGTAGAGAATCAGGCCTGCACTCCACATGTCTCCTGCGAAGCGCCAAGCGAGCAGGCAGATCATCCAGCAAAAAAAATGTTAACTGTTTTTTTTGCGCAAGGTATGGGAAAATATGTTAAAACATGTGAAATCTTCAAGCGACTTTAATGCGCTCTGAGTTTTAGTTTTGAATGTGTTTCTACATGCATCTGCATACATACATCGTTTGTTCCACTGGCCAACGACAGCGAGTGGTTTTTGAGGCACTTTTAGGCACACCATCAATTGAACCCATCTTCATCCCATCTCCTTTCTCTCCAATTTCCTCGTTCTCCAAACGTTCGGGAGAGCAGAACTCAATGGCATAGCCACCATGAACTTCTCCCGTGACATCGCCCATCATCTGACAGGTGCCAAAGTCCGATAGAAGTGGACGTGGAAACGCAGCGGCTTGACCAGCAACCTCATCCACATGCAGCATGATGTTGGAAGGTTTCAGATCCATATGCAGGATCCCACGGCAATGCAGGTGATCCAAGCCGCTGCAGGTTCCTTAGTTTCAAAATGTTTCAAGTTTCAAGGTGACTTTGAGATAGTTTCATAATGTCATGCTGGCAAATGCTTGCAGAATGCAAAGAATGCTAAAAAGGCAGGCTGATAAAGGTCATGCAGGTCCGCCATGATCCGCCATGATCAGCCATGGCTATGCCACCAAGCTGCCATGGAAGAAATGCCAAATCATCTCTTCTGACAACTCCCGTGATCTCCTCGCATTGTCTGGCCTCCCTCGAATGAAACCCGGATCCTTGTGCCAAATGAAGCCTGAGGCAAGGGGCATGAACAGGTGAGAGATTCTGGAAGGAGCATGATGAAATCCAGTGCCTGCAACAAAAGATTCTGCGGAATAGGCTCTGAATCATGAAGCTTCCTTTCAAGGGACATCATCTTTTCTGTCCGCATCATTGCTTCCATCATAATAATTATCATTGTCCCTCCCGCCGCCATCACTGTGACCACTTTCACCACCATCACCACCACCACCGCCACCACAATCACCACCACCACCACCACCACCACAATCACCACCACCATCACCGCCACCACCACCACCATCACCACCACCATCACCGCCACCACCACCACAATCACCACCACCATCACCGCCACCACCACCACAATCACCACCACCATCACCGCCACCACCACCACCTCCACCAGCATCATCATCATCATCATCATCATCATCATCGTCGTCGTCGTCGTCTTCGTCATCATCATCATCATCCAGATCATCATTCCGTACAATTGCGACAATCATCAGTCATTCTGACGATAATGCCTGGCTCGTCAACTCTCGAACGCCGTATCACCGAATTGCTGTGGTTGAATGGCTTGTGAGAACCCTGCCTTCAAGGGAGCCATAGTTGCAGTATTCCTTGCAGCTTCCAAGGTTCAACAACACAGTGCAAATAATCATGGAAACATCACGGAAACGTTTGAACAACTTGCACACAAGATAGTACCAGCTACAATGTCAATATCTTTCGAGCCTACAGACTTCCTGCCCTCGTGTCAACCAAAACAGCTATGGAAATCCCTCATTCGTAGAATAGTTTCTTATGATTTCTTATGCTTCTTATTCCTTCCATGTTTTCTTAACGTTTCTCGCTTTCTCAACGTTGGTAAATCCCCGGGCCAGTTTGATCGATCCGGTTGATCCGAGGCATTCCGAGTCACCATGAGGATGTAGAGGAAGGGCACATAGGGGCAGAGCTCCGAGTGCCGATCAATTTCCAGCCAGGAGTGCTTGTAGTCGATGACATTCATATGACGGAGCTTCCTGAGCACAGCAAAAAAAAAAACACAGAAAGCTGGGAACTACTGGGAACGGTAAAAATGAGATATACATAGATATACCATGATATACCTTCTGCTACTTTAAACTGGCAACGGAAAACCTGCGTTTCAAGCAGGATATAGCAGCTTAGCAGGATAGGTCACTTACGAATTCCATTGCCATGTTCGATGGCCAGAGTGTAGTCCGAAAAAATGTGGATCTGCTGTCTTTCAAAGGCTGGGATCTTGAAGGTGATAGGTTCATTATAGTTCGAGGTTCCTCAACTTGTTGAAGCTGATATACCCACAATCAACCAATATAGGATCTCAGTAACGTCCATTTCTCTCCCCAATCTTTGTGCTCAACCCACCATTTTTATCCATTTTTTGATATTTTTTGTATCCTTCAAAATCCCTATTTCAGTTTCTAGGGGGCCTTTTTTAGACCCAGTTGTTCAATGGTTTTCCCATGGTTTTCCCCACGGAATCCATGGTCTCCTGCCAAGCGGCTCCAAGGCCTTCACCTCCCGCACCACCTGCCGCAGGCGTCGGGCATCATCGCCCAGCGCCAGTTTCTTCACCGCGAAGATACCCAGCTCGATTTCATCCATCATGTGGGTGCACAAATAGACCGAACCAAAGGATCCCGATCCCAACTTGCGTTCCTGGAGGCGACTGAAAAATCTGGAGGATCTGGAGGAATGTTGGAATTTCCTTGAAATACGAATGATGGTATTATAATATATTATAATGGGTCATATGTGTTATATGTGTTATGATGTACTATACACGTTATCCGAAGATTGGGAAATATCATGAAAATCCTGAGGTCTGGAATAGATTTGAAGAGCCTATTTTGGGATGCATTAGTGAACGCTCAGAAGCTACCTCATCCCTTCATCTTTGGTCCACAACCCACATGTTTACCTCATCTCAGGATGTACTGCATCCCATTGACCACGGTTTACTGCAGCAACATCCCCTTCAATCTGTATACCAGGATCCAATCAGCCCATCATCAGAAGTTATCACAAGTTATCACAAGTCCTCCTTGAAGAAGCGAGCATAGTAACCTGTATTCAAAAGTCCGGCGGCTATGCTATGGAGCTGTGCAATTGCAGCTGCCTCTTCATCGCCCGCCGCATTTGCAGCGAAGACTTTTCGGATGGTTTCCTCGGGGCACGTGTTTGGTGATGGGCCCATCAGGATTGGGATGGGTCAATCAATGAAGAGCATTCATTTATCAACTATTTTGGCGTGAAAACCATGGTATCAGGATTTTGATACTCTCATTTAAGGGAGACACACACAAATGAAATTCATGGTTTTGCTATCCATGACAAAAGGGGTTCAGGTCCATCCTCTCTTTTTCCGTTTCTGGCAGTGGTTGTTGCTTGATGATTTACCATCCCTGTTCTCTTCGGATCTCTTCGAGACTACCCGTACCCTTGTCTGGCGCCAGCCCGTCAGCCCGTGTTCTTCAAAATGGATCAGACACTTGAGGGCTCACTTGATGCATCTGCAACACATCAACAATCATCAACACATCTCCGGGCCTACTTCCACCAAGCTTCCCAATAACCTTCAACCACAAAGGCCCACGACTCACTCAAGGACTGTTTGCAGAGAGGGCATGAGCTGTGCCTCCGATTGTGCAGCAGAACCTGTGCTTGTTCCTGGGTCACTCTTCTGGCGAAGGCCCTGTGGTGATGCGCATCATACAGCACCAAATCACGGCCACCTAACGGGATGGGAAACATCGTGCAGAAATGGTGAAACGGCATCATTTCTGCATGGCATATTAGTCGGTCTGAATAAATAGAAAAATCGTTGGATGGTACAAGTTGTAACATGTTGGTCGAAATTCGGTTCGACAATGGCCATACTCAGTATTACTCAGTAGTTGATTCTGAATACCAGAGCTGGCCAATATTATTGACTATCGCGTTTTGAATATATACTGACTTGCAACAAACATCATTGGGGTCTTCGATCTCAAAAAATCAAAACCAATCAACAAGACCTATGCAAAAGTTTGCGGTTTCCTAAAATCGGGGGCCACAAGCTATTATCCAAGCTGTTTGATTCCTTATTTTGTATGGGGAAAACCAATGGCGATAAGCTGTAGCCATGGGCCCAAGACCCCTAAGTCGCTGCTGAGGCACGGTACAAGATGATTTGCATCTCCTCCGTGGAATGTTGGGCCATGATGTGCGCATGAGCGCCCGCTTCAAACTGTAGCCAACCAGCCTAACCACAGCTGGTGCTTTTCCGAAAAACCATGTCGTATCTTAGTATAACTTGTCATAATCAGTGTGTCCCTTTTTGTGGATTTGTGTGGCACATTCAGCTCCATCACTCCATCCCCATCCAAAAAGAACATCATTTCCAACCCTTAAAAAACATCTTTCAACCCCATCCCCAGCATTTTCCAGCGCTTGTTGTTGAGTTCCTCGCCTGGTTGAGGCTCATGTTGGCCCCCGGCGCCATGATCGCCTCCAGAAAGCGCGGAGAAAGCTGGGCCCGCGCCCTTGGCTTGGCCTTGCAAGCCCCAAGAATGGGGCGACCGGGATGGGACTAGAAAACCACATATCTGTACATATATGGCAGTGTGTCAAAACCTTGTACCCCTGGTGAACATCAAAATAGCTGGTAAATGGATGTTCATCCCCCTAAAAATGGTATTAATAGGTATTGATCCATACCCATATATAAATATTAATATATTTAGATGTATGATAGTCCTGAATAGATGACAGTATATGATGGTATAATATGATATTCCATAGGATTTTGTAAGATATCATTACATATGATATTATATAGTATATATGATATAACAGAGTGGGGCGAGCGGCGGCTTTCAGTTATTTAATGTTCCTCGCGGGCGCCCGCAATGTGATATAACATAACATTGTATAAATCAACACTATGAGTTTTGTCACCCCAATTTATAAACCATGGAGTGTTGGGTTTCCAAAGTCTGAGACAACAGCACATAGTGCATCCACTGGCAGGTCGCTTCTCAAGCCACAATGGCAGCACGCACCCGAAGTGATGCTTTCTTCCAGCATGTTGCGCAGTGTAGACCCACCCAAAATGTTCTGAAAATTTCTATCACCAACCACCAACTCATAGATTTTGTATGATTTTGTGGTATCTGAACATAGGTAAATATACATATATGCCAAGGATCAGCGAGGCCATCAGCGGCGGTGAGGGCAAGGATCTCCTGGTGGAACCCCAAGAGCTTCCATTTTTTTTTCAGTTTTTATAGGAAAACCATGGCAAAACCGTGGGAAAATTCAGGGGTACTCCGATGTTTTCAATTGTTTATCATAAATATAATATAATATAATATATAATTGATTGATTGGTTGAAAGAAATTGAGAAACACCCAGAATGGTGACTGTACTAGTAGGGAGTGGGAACTGAGACACCCACACCAAGGATCAAACATATGGGGATCAACAAGAAATGGTGGGAAATCATGGGGACAAAACGGGAATACTAATCAGATCTAATCAGTTCTGAAAAGCATGAAAGTCAATAGAAATCATTGAATCATTGTTCTTTATTGAAAGTTGAAAACAAAGAACCAGCGTGGCAAAGATGCCAGTCCACCCCACAGTCTCCTCCGACTCATCTTCCGCCGCACCTTCTGGTACTGCCAGGCGTGTGGGTTTCATGTTGGTTTCGCCATGGGGAAATCCCAGGCCGCTGTACAAGAATCGTAAAGAAGGCTAGGATGTCTTGCTGCTTCTCCTACTCACTCTTTTAAGTTTGGAATAAATTCAGGGCAAATCAAAGAATGCGTTTACCATGAGCAAATCTAGGTGCATTGGAATCAACGGCATGTTATGGCATGTCATTATAATATATAGCTATTTATATTAGATTTTAGTGTTCCCTGCCTCCATATGTTCAGTTGGCACAGCAACAGCACTTGGGCATCGTTTTTCCGATGTTTCGTGGCTCATCTCTTGGTTTGATCTTTGCAGCTGCAGAGCCGTCCTGTACTATGCACGATGCACGTGGATTAAGGTGAGAAATTGATACAAATTGATACAAATGTATACAATTGTAACCATCTCGAAAGAAGCAACCAAAAAAAAAAACTTCCATTAACAACCAGGTTGGAACAGCATTGACAATCGTTGACCATTAACCAACAATTGATCAACCAAGTTTCTGCGCCACCAACCAATGACCTACATCAGCCGGTCGATAATCAACCAACAACTGGGGCGCCGCGACGGTGTTTGCCATTCCTGTGTCCCAGCTCGCACAACGACGTACCTGACAGGGCAACAGCAGTTTGGACTAAATATTTGATCCATGAATGATGTTTTTGGGAGCCCACAAAAAATAGATCAAATCTCTGGTTCCTTCAGCACCACAATCAGTCCTGGCGCACGGGTCCAGTTCCACTGAAGACCTGGCAGCATGGAGCTGGGTAAAGCTAATCAGTTTCGATAGAAGGGGCAAGGCAGGATAGTGATAGTTCTTGCTGAGCGCCAACGACTATTAATACTATTGAAGCACTGCAAGTGCTTCGATCTGCCTTTATGTTGGACATTGTTGGACTATTGATTCCATTTGAACTCAGTGGACAGCCATGTCTTTGTCTGCGTCAAATGCGGGTTTCAAACAGCGGCACCTCAAACCATGCGCAGCTGCAATGCGAACGTAAACTGTCTCCGACACCTGGGGAAAGGCTTTTGTCAGGTCCCATTAGGTCCTTAGCTCCAGCTGTTACCGTTTACCAATCTTGAGAATATTACTGTAATTAAAGATCTATAAAGCTCCAGCTGTTGATGGATGTTGATGGTCATCCCTAGCCCTAGCTTCGCTCGATATCGTTAGTCATTACATTGAAATCTCCGAAGTCTGGTACAGTCACTAAGGCATCTTGGAATTAAAATTTGCCGCAACCACACGGCTATGGCCAAAGCAAAAATGCAATGAGGAACATGGAATTCAAGTGGCTGAAAGCTTGCGCCGCCAAAAAATACACCTTCTTCCGCGTGCATTTTTGGTCTTTGGGTCGGGCGTTCCTGTTTGCAATTTTTGCTCGATTTGTTTTGCGCATTTGGCACCTGTGTCTTGTGCACGTGTACTTATTTTCCACGCGTCTGGAAATCGGATTTGTCTATCTTTACTAAAGGTGTACTTTTGAAGTGCGTGTAGAACTGGATGTGTATTTGTTTTCAACTCTATCAACTAAGAGCCGGAGAACCCGTCAAAACTGGGATGATTTCAGCGGCGTCCAGTTTAAACCCACCTTTTGTCCTCTGAGTGATTTCAACAATCGCTTCGAAATTAGTGTTTTAGCACCTTCTGAAGGTCCAAGTGTGATTTTGTTTACAGGACACTCCCATGTTTGATAACACACTTAGCTACCATAAATCAACTACCGATCCCATTAAATCCTCAGTTGCGTTGGTCAAATCCCATGAAATGAACAACCAGCAGGGGTTCCCCCCATATTTTTTCAACCCCGCTGTCCTCCAAAGGTCGGCTAGGTCGCCGTGGTGAACGATTAGAGACGCTGGTGACTTGCCCAGCTCGTGTGGCCTGGCTGATGGTTTTCTTGGCATCGGGGGTGATATTTTGGGATACTCTTCATTGTGATATACCCAATGATGGTCAAATATGAGCAGTTCACTGGCGAATTGAAAGAGAAATTCATGGAGATTAGGCTTTGAAACCTGTGGCAACAAGTATAGTAAATATATGTAAGTATACCGTGGTTCATCATGTGCCATTTCGGTTCCCAGGTCACTACAGGAAGTTGCTTGGTCCAACGTGTTCCACGCCTCAATGTGTGCACCCAAGGCTGTCAGCCCACCTGATGTGTTCACAGAGGCGCCAGGCGGAGCCAGGGGATTTTTCATGGGATCCTCTGACTGGATGAAGGGTAAAATGGCCATCTAGGGCTCCCAACTGCTATCAATCTCCTCTGCCAGGTTGAACAAGACACAGGACCCCAAAGATGCCCAAAGCACTGCAGGTGGCTAAATAGGACCCAAGAAGAATGCGAATGAAGAATCTCCTTGACACCGTGTGAGAAAACACATGTGAGAATATGTGAGAATAGTCATAGTCTTACTGGCAATCATTTCAGTATCAACTACCAACCCACAACACCATCACAACACCCAATGAACCTGCTGAAGTCTAGATCCCAACGTGAGATCGAATCACAATCTTGAGTGCTCCCCTTGGTACCATCACATGCGCAACTCCTCTGCATCTGCCGTTGCATCGCCTGCAACCAACTTGGAGGTGGGTAAAAATCCATTGTTTGTCTGAAAGGGTATACCCTCCAAACGACCGTTTTAATGTGGATAGTGAGAATAAATGATCATGATCGATTAATTAGAATTGGGGTAGCCAATTTCAAACGAATCCATGTATATATAATACAGAGAGAGAGAGAGATGCCCCCAATTTCCGAAGATTTACAGTTTACAGGTTCCATGGCTCAAGGCCATGCAAACCCCCAGAGACACCAACAGTATGAACCACTGGCATGACTGCCATTAGTGCCCGCATCTTCTAATCGCAACACATCCCTCGTGATGAATTGGTGCTACGACTGCCGTTGTACCCTTACAGAGCATCAGTGTGAATGGAAACTACATATTCATTATTGTACGACTGTTAATATTCACTTATAGGAATCGCTCAAAAACTGTTACTAACCGATACAGGCTGGTACCCACTGGGCACTCAAGCGTTTCCCGAGGGCTCCTTTTGATTCTTTTGCCAAGTTCACAGAGAGTGGCCCATTCCTTTGGGATGGGGGCACCCACTATGTCATTGACGTGTTTGGTCGAGGATGTCGAGGTACTAGCACTTTCTGGGTAACTAACCTGGAAATGGATGGAAGTAGATGGAAATAGAAATTCTAAGAAAATCCACGAACATCCTCTGGCTTTAGCCGACTTTTATGTGAAATATGTAGCATCTTTTCCACTTCCAAGTTAGCTACCAGAAGATACTTCATGTGGCAACTCGCAAAAAAAATTGGGAGAACAAATTGATGCCTGTGATAATCTCGAAGGCCCCATGCTCTTCGAATGTTGCCACATGTTGCGACAAAGGGATCAACCCCAAGCTGTTTGATCGCTGGGAGCAGTTCAAAAAGCCAATCTTCAATGGCAAGGTGACCGCTACGAGCCCTTGAAGCCCTCGGCCTGCCAATCACGAGTTCTTGCTGCATTCTTGGAGGTGTGCATAGTCGTTGTTTTACATACGTTCATTCCGTATCCAATGCAGGATTCTTCGCATGCGCGAGGCCTGTCAGCGCCCTGATGCGTGGATCGCGATAAACATTGAGGCCAAGCGCTAGCATGAAGGCCAAAACCACCAGGATACAAAGCATCAACCTGAGATCGGCATCACCTTCTGTGATTCCACCATCATCCTCGCCCACAATGGAATCTGCACCCCAGACTCCAATACCATCGATAGCCATCATAACCTGGCATGGATGGCTGGTCATGTTTGAACATGTCAGGTTACTGATGATTACTGTACATCCTTCACAGCCTTTCGTACCATTTCGTACCCAGAGAAACAACATGAAACAACCTTAAGCCGCTTAAGCGGAGATCCCCATGCCTCTACAAACCTTGAACAAACCTCAAAGAAGTTGCTTAGTCATGGCCCCAGCGACCCCCTTCAGTAGCAGAAGTCTCGACAAGGGCGTCTGAAAGATGCAAAAGGTTGCCATCACAATGCCTCCCCAGTAATGGTGGAGGTGCAGGTCATTTGGGAAAGCCATGATCAGCACAGCATGGAAAAAAACAATGAAGCCCCAATACAGGAGATAATTTCGCTGCCCACTGCGACTCAACAAATGCAGATTCTGCTCACCGGCCGCTGCTGTCTTGGTGACTGTTTGTATTAGCCGCCGCAAACAAGGGAGACCATCACAAATCAGCATGAGGAGGGATACCAAGGTCGACACTGCAATAAAGACATCGAAAACACCAAAGGTGCTGCCAGAAGAAACGCTGTGAGCCAAAAATTCCTCGCAGTTTTGCCAAAAAAACTTGTTGATCAGAAACTCACAAACTGCCACAGCTGCAAACACAGCACCATCCCGTCTTCTTGGAGGAACTCTGCATAGCCAGGCCGACAAAATGCTGATTGTCAGCAAGTGAAGCAGATTGCGGGCATGAGATGAGGTGGTTTGATCTTCTACTTTCCAGCAAATCAACTCAAATTGTTCGCAATCACTGAGACCACGAATCACTCCATAGGCCATGATAGGAAAGAGGCACCAAAGAAACAAACCGATGGAGGGCTTGGCAAAGTCAATGGACCACACTGGCCACGCCAAGCCCGGTGACGATTGCGGCGAGTGCGAGCTTTCACCCGCAGCCGGGGCTGAGTCCGAAGCCTCAACAGCCTTGGCATCCTTACCATCCTTGGCCTCTTTGGGTGTGGCTAGTGTGGCACCCTTGGCATCAATTTGGAAGGGAAGAAATGGCCCAAGTCGTCGCAGAAGACTCAATTTGAGATTCAGAATGCACAGAATGCTATAAAACGAGCAGGACAAAATCGGCAGGGTGTAAAAGGCCGTTGCCACACTGCAGCCTGAGCTCACCATCGTGGCAAAATGCTCTTGCGTCTATGGCAACCTCTTGACTTGCTAGCAGCCTGGAATTGACAATGCATATTCTCTCACATGTGAAAGAATGATAAAGAATGTATGTGGTGTAGTATACACATTACATAGAAATGAGAAATGTACATATCTACAAGTATAGCTAATAGTTAATATGCACTACGTGTATGCCGTAGTGTTGTATACTATGAGTCCATGAGTCAAACTGATACTTCAAGCTGGCCTATAGTAGTTCCCAATTAAATGTATCATATCTCATCATCTATGGCCCCAGATTGTCTTGTTCTGCTGATGGCAAATAGCTGGCCAAAAGAAAGCAACTCGTTGCAGAGCCCACATTGGTTGCAGCGATTCGTTGCAGCAAATGCATCCGTTGCAGGGGTCACATCTGCATGTTTAGAACAGCAAAGGTCATCACTAACATGATTCATCCAAAGCAAAACCGGCTATCGATCAACATGGATCAACATGATCGAATTCCTTAGGGCCTTCAGGTTTACCTGCCATGGTTTCCTCTAGTCATGGGAAAACATGCCATGGCGGCACCTGGCAGCACCTTCTGTGCAAAGATTGCATCAAAGCTGACCACCTGCAGTAGGTGGATGTTTCTGACATGGGGGTTATAACAATGGACAAATATGTGTATTTATATATATATACACATGTGTATATATATATACATATACATCTATGTTATGTAGTAAGATATATAGTGTTATTGTTACTATAGTATACTATTCTCAGCGAATTATAATCCCTTATTATTATTATGTCCTTATGTTTATATGTTTATATAGTAATGATCTGATAGGATACAATCGATATTCGAACATATTATATATACAGTAGATAGAAGATGATAGAAGAGAAAATAGTGAAAATATAATTCCAACTAATATCTCAACGTTTCAAATGAGCGTTGTATTGCCCCAGTGGAACTAAAATCTCTTGGATAAATTTCTGATAATACAGGGATATCTTCTGAAAAAACATATCATTGGATATCGGATATATTCAGTGTAATATCGTCGGATGAAAATAACCGACAATCGGAAACCAATTCTTAAATCCCCAAAAAGTGTGTGGTCTTCATTGGGATTCCAAGTTCATAGATAATAGTGATCTAATTTAAATAAATAATATATATATACAGTATATTATACATATATTGCAAAGGGTAGCATGACCCCCAAACCAATCATCAGCCAATCTTGGCCATCAGTCGCGGTCAATTGATGTCAAGTGATCACATGGAATGCTGCTAAACATTGATAAACTGTTGATAGATTTGTTGTAGCATTTCTCTTTGGCGGACTTGGATGGGATGCTTCCGCTTTCATTGTGAATACTTGTTTTGCGTTTTTCAAACTGACAATTGCTTCAATCGTTTGCTCAAAACTACCAGAGGTGACTAGAGTGCCATGGATCATCACTTCAGATTTGTTGAGATTTGTCGAGTTGTGACCTATCCTCAGACACAGAAAGATCAGCTGAGTTGTGTCAACCGCTGAGTCCGCAGCAGGTGCTCTCCGACCCAAAGGCAAGAGCCAGGCGAAGGGATTTTTCCCTTGAAGCTGGGCTCCGCTCGACCAGTTTCATTGGGTAAAAGCCAGCATACCCATTTAATAAAAATCCCATTAAAATCCGATAAAAAATGGGGAGAATGAGAATAATCCATTGGGTTTACAGGGTTCCCTATTTTCAGGCCCACATTGAGCCCATCTCCTCTCTTAGAAACTTCGTCAGCGGAGTCAATTGAGATCTCTAGCATGAAAAGAATATTTATGTATGAACATATAATATATTATGAATATCCTAAGAGTCTTGGCACCACAGGAGGTATGCTGCTGCAAGTACAAAGTGATCAATGTGTTTACTGCACCGCCCAACAAGACATCATTCTCCAACTTCCAACTCTAGGTCCGGATAGTTAGAATATGAGTCAAATAAAGTGCCAGAATATATCTAATGTATGATAGAATGTCTGAATTTATGTCAGAATATACGTCACATAGAATCGAATGCCAGATCAAATGCCACATAGAATGTTAGAACAATGTCAGAATATGTGAGAATATTTGTCGGAACAGTATATCAGATAGGATGCTAGATTAGTGCCAGATAGAATGCCAGATAGAATGCC